AGTAGACATCCGGTCACGTCTGCTCTCGCGCCATCCGATCACCTGTTTCTCTTTTTCCTGTCCCTTCGCAGTATGCCCCTGCCTGGGACCGATAACGGCCTTCAAAAAAAAAATAGTGAATGGATGGTATTGGTGCGTTTTGACCAATGCTAACTTTATTTAGCATCTTGACATTCGTATTCAAACCCTAGCACCCACAAATGGTAAGCGCGGATTCTGCCTCCAAGGTTACTGGAATAGTGAGGCCGTCCTTACACCTTGCTACCCTGGAGGATCAAACAGTCCGTCATAAGGGAAGTAGGATGGAAGACACGTCGCACAATCACATACACATCGGCTGTACACCTCCTTTCCACTGGCACCAAGTATCACTACTGTCCCGTACTCGGTAATTAGATATGATCAAGACTAACCTTCGCAGTCATAGTTGGAAATTTAATTGTCCGTTTCATCTCATTGCGTGCTTTCAGTCTCTCCGCAAACGAGCTGGTGGTATCACCTGGCACTGCTGCAGCAACGCTGGCTGTGCTACTTTGCACGGGGATCTCTCCCCTTACCGGCTCCTTGGTATCTGCTCCAGTGGTCTGCGGGAGTGCAGCAGGTTCCCGAACTGATGACGACAATGTTCCTATGACATCTTTTAATTGGTCCGGATAGAGACCAGCTCTAGAAACACTGGCCGGGCTCCCAATGTTCATCGTTTCCTTGATTGCAGCCTCTTTCAACGTGGTCTTCTTAGGAGAGCTATATCTTTCCACATTTTGTTTGAGAGACCGGCAAAAATCGTCGTAGCCTTCACTCTGGAAAGAAAATACCTCTATTTTCAGCTGAAAACGCACAATATAAATAGTCAAACTCACGACGAGCAACTCTGGTGATCCCGCGAATTGGTCTTGCGTAGATCGGGCAGCTGCAACGCAATCGATGGTGGTATCTAGCGTCTGCAACAAGTACAATCTAACTAGATTAGGAAGATATTTTTTGTAGTCTCCGTTGCCAAGGAAGCGATCTCACACGTTTTTCAGCACAAATCTCGCCCAAGTTATAACAAAGTGCCAGAAAACGCTTGAGTAATTCTGAGAATTGTTCCAAGGATTTCAGTCACAGCATCGAGCACAAACTACAGTCTCGTTCACTGCAGATGAAGGAGCGCGTCAAGGGGGATTAGTTTGGCGCAGCTCCACCCGAAATTTTCTTTTTTTTTCTTTTCGGCAAGATACAAAACTGTATCATATCCTTCGTATCAGCCGTTTTCCTGCAGTAGTTCTCGCTTTCCCGTCTGAACAACCGGTGGAGAACGGGACGGCGCCGCACCAAACCCAGCCTTACTACCACGCAGCAAACAAAACTCTAGCTAGTTTTCCTAGCCATTTGACTGTACACAGCACTTAAGCTTCAATTCAATTAGTTCATTCTTTGCCGTGTACTTTACGGCTTTACCACAAAAAAACCAACAATTAGTCAAGCCGCGGTCGTACTTGGCGACAAGGCAGAATAGGAAAATATACTGACGCGCTTCAATGAAGCAGATGGGATTCAAGCGATCTCAGTAACTAGCGAGCTGGGAGAGTCGTAGAATCGAAGTATGGGAGAGCAGTAGAACCGAAGAATAGAACTCCATTGATTCCCATCTACTCTTCTGAGCGCTAACCTAGTTGAGCGCGGCCCACACAGCAGCTCCTCTACGGTCCTACCCCTGACCAAGGCCTAGGCTTAGTGCGTAGGCGAGCAGTTGCCGCGAATTATCTTTTCCTGAGTTTCTGGGTAACCTTTTATCTAGACTGTATGACGATTTATGACCGATGTGACCACATACATTCCAGCTTTTCAAATATGCTATGTGGCTCACCAACCCCAGAATTCACTTCCCTTAAAAAGCCCATCTCCTGACCCGTCACATGTTTTTCGTGTCTTCCATTTTTTTGACAGCCACTGTTTTCTCTCCTTTTGTCTACGCAATGTCTGTGCGGCTCAGATCGTCCACGCTTAAAACCTACCTTCGTTAGAGGAAGAAAGAAGCGAATAGTGCGTGTCCTCGCTCAATATCGTTGGCCGTACTTTTTTTATTATCCCCAAATAACAGAGCTCCTCACGCAGGCCAGGCCACCGAGCAAAAAGACAGGGCACGTTTTGTGTGGAGTTAAAACTGGGCGCGCTTTTTGAGAAATGCGGTAATGGCCGCTATTCTAGTAATAATGAAGAAGGTTAGGGTGGATATAGAAGAAGAAAAAAGCAAAATTATCAGGAGCAGGGAGAGAAAGTCAGCAGGCGAAGGGGGCAAGAGAGGAGGTGGCGTAGTCGAGGCTACATATTCATTACTCCAAGATCCCTCTTAATTCATGATTTATGTGTATATCCTCAACTTGGGGGAGGTATAAAATGCGGGATCTTAAGAGAGCGAATTACTTTTTGATGCGCGATCATGATTACCCGTGAGGAATTAGAATCACGTTCATATATTAGCAGCTTCATAGTTTTGGAGTGCTTATAGCGTTAAAAATTGATGAGTTGTTCGGAAAGTCCTGCGACACTTTGATTGAATTGTTCTAAAAAAAAAGACCAAAAATCATTTTGGATGTTTTTATCTCTGATTAGTGGGGACTCTAGGATTTCTGCAAGTGGGTATGTCATGACTTTGTGAAAGCTTTCACAACCTAAAAGTCCCTCAGAGATCGAGGTATCTGTTTCGCAACCTAGTCCCATATGTAATGAGTTCCTGTAGGGCCACTTCGCGGTCGAGTCGAGGAACCTATCGACGCTACGTTGTCTTGAACGAATGGATTTCGCATTGCCATGCAGAGGGAGGACAGCGTTTCACTATTTATCACCTTCCGTATGAGGTAGGCGAATTGTATAGGTTTGCGCACGCAGCACAGAATGATGGCCGTTTACTCAAGCTTCTTGAGGCGCAGCCGAAGGTGACCACCAGTAAGTTGGCAACTTCTCTAGGATTCCATCCTGACTGAAAACTGCCATGCTTCTCCGCAACCTCGGTTATCGTAAAAAATTTTTGTGAAGGATGCCTCATGAGTTGGACCCGTCTGACAAGTCATACCGAATGACCGTGACTGAGTTTTCTTTTCCTTGTACACAGCGAAAGAACGCTTGTGAGATCTCGTGGTTGGTAGCGAGTGTTAGATTCGTTGCGTAACGTCAGTGCACATGTCCGCCTCAGCAGGATCTCTCCCAGAACAGAAAAGTAGATTTGCTTAGCCAAAAACAGACGTGCATGGGATAAAGTTTTCAGTGTGTTATTGCTGGGACTTTAAAGCGGTATCACTGGATACTAGCACCGTAGTAAGGATCCACAGTCCACGTTAAATCGGACTTCAAATAATGGATGAAGTCCACGCTTGAATTCATTCCAAGGAATACTTCAATTTTTTCTCTACCTTGCATCCGCAATCGCGAAACCGCCATGTGGGATCAGGCTACGCCAAAAGATCATGGATTTCGATCAGAGAATGCGACCGTACCCAGGTTATTTAGCAAAGTTAGCAGCCTCTAATTACCACTTCCTTTGGTCCCTATCGCATCCTTTAACACCTTGACGACGAGACTCCCATGACTTGCGCGTGGGACGGCACACTTTTCTACATTGAAACTTAGTAATTTCCAATTAAATGAGTTGCTACAATCAAAATGTATCGAGATATGCAAGGGACGAGTATACCAATCTCGAATCTTTGACAGAATTTAGCTCTTATTGCTCCAATTTTCCAAAAACAGGCCATTTTTTACCAATTCCTTCCTCTGGAGACAGAATTGATTAAAATGTCTCCCGTGTATCTCGTAAAAAACAATATCGCAGTCACCCGACCAGAAAAATTGTTTTGTTCTTGGCACTAATTTTTATGAAAAGTAAGTGAAAAATCGCGCAGATTTTCAGTTGTATAATAATTGTGGCACAGCAGACAGTGCCGTCCCACAAGGCAAACTTTCTGTCGTCCACCCGTTACCGGAAACCCGACCGCCAACAAGTGCTTTAATGTGAAATGATAAATTTTGTCCAGGAGGTCGGTTCATCGGTAGGGACAGGTTTTCAGGGAATTTGGTGATATAGGACATTTTGGCGCGGGCGCCAGGCATTTTCGCGGGGAACGAATGTGATATTCGTGTTCAGGGGTTCAAGCAACCCCACAAAACGAGTTTTAAGCTATTTTATTTAACCAAAATCCCGGCCAAACCACTGTGCTGTTCGTTTCAGAATTTCAGCCTACTCCTATAGACATCTTTTGAACAAACTTGGTTGCTCGCACGACTTTATATAGTATGCTGTCGGACAGCATTGTCCGACACCGTCCCATGAGACAGACTGGCTGTCGCCCACCATTGTCCGACACCGTCGTCAACGTGTTAAAAGCAAAATTCCGAAAATCGACCTCAACTCGAGAATGAGGTCCACCTCTTCTTTTTATCATAGTTGCCGTAGTTCTATGAGAATGGAAATGAGAAGCTGTGCAAAAGAAGGGCACTAGTCCTAGTCATCAACTGCGGTTACCTTGTAGATTGGAGATGTCTTTTAGTGACGGAAAATTTAGTCCGAAAAATTTGGTCAAAGTGTCGCATTACTTTTCGAACAACCTAATAGAATGGCATGACTACCTTCCACTGGACTCGAAATGGAAGAAAGACATTTGCAGTAGAATTTATTGAGAGAATACCTAAAAATAAGCGATGTAGGCCGTAGGCCATATCGCATATTTTCCGGGCTTATCTTAGCCCACTGATTTGACGCCAAGCTGTTGTGTCAAGTCAATAAGCTAAGGATGTAGGAATAGTTACACCCAATGTCGTAACTCAAACCTTCTGAACAACACCCAATGGTGTTTCTTTCACTGGAACTTCGCGTACTTTTATAACGGCCGTCAAGGAGTAATGCACTATAGCGAACGCACCTTAGCCAAATCTTCCAATGTACTGAATCTTTTCTTGATATTCCGCAGGCCTGATGAGCTCACAGAACTTGATGACACAGAGTTTTCTTCACTACTGTCCGTATCGCGCAGTTGATGCCGTACTCTACAAGACGGATTAGCAATATCAGAATAATGAATTCCATGTAGTAAACGAGTATGGTAATACCTGAAATCCTTCGATTCGCCAGCAATTAATGCACTTCGCAATTTCACTGCGGTATCACCGGTAATCTCCTTACGAGTGTCCCGTAACAATTGCCGCAGATAGTCACGTTCAGAAGTCAGTGAAGCGATCTTGTCACTCTACAAAAAAAAGCAGCTTGGTGGGAGGCTAGCAAGCTTGAGGAGTACAAACTAGGAATTACTGTGACATTAGCTCACCATTACACGAATTATATTCCGCAATTCATTTATTTTCACTGCGAAAGCCTGCTCTTTGGATGCATCCATTCCTGTTTTCGTTTTTGATTCACGAGCGTAAGATTTCAGTTGTTCCAGCTCCTCTTTCAAGTAGGCATTTTCATCGCGGAGCCGATCCACCTCATAGGAGCATCGCGACAAACGGTGCCTCTCCTCGACTTCCTTGTGGAGCCTCTCGTTCACGATTTTCAGATCTTCCTGGAAAGCAATAGCATTTGCACGCGCTGAACAAAACATTGAGAGCGCTAAATACAAGCACATTCAGCGAGTGTGGCTCGCAGCTAATGGGTTTAACGGACAACACGTTCAAGAGCAACCTGACTAAGACCCCCCCCCTATCCTGCCTTCACTTCATTTTGCAGCACTGGAGAAAAAGCCGAAGGTGGAGGGCACCGGGGACGCGACCATTGGATAAGAATGCAAAAAGACGAGAAAGACAACAAACTTGGTCCCCACACAGTTATGATTACGATGCCGTCCTTCTCTTGGTGAAGTCCCTAACTGGAGGGAGGAGTTACTGTGATTGTCACGGTCTCAACGTCCTCGTCAAACGCCTTGGGGCCAGGAAGTGGTGGAGGCCCACGATCGTATAACGCGGAATGAGACTTTTGGAATGCGTTCATACTTGGCGGGATTTGGAGTCTGTTAGCATCTTCAGCCTTAAGTGACTGAAAAAGTATAGATGCCGGTCCAAAGTTTTGGACGTTTTCAGCATCAGCGTTTCGAGCAACTAAGAGAGTATAGTTTCGGTTGTCACTGAAAACGCAGGCGGACGCTCAAGACGCTGGTGGACGCTCAAATTCTAGACCGATATCTGCACTTTCCTAGCCGCTCGAAACGCTAGATCGATGCCTATACTTCCTAGTCGCTCAAAACGCTGCCACAAAGTATGAACCCAAAACATTGACTTTGGCAGATAAAAACAGCAGAACAAAAACAGTAAATATCTCACCTCTAAACTTGACATCCTTGTTAGCTGTGAGCGCATCTGATAAATTTCTGCACTGCTATCGCTGAGCTTTTTCTTGAGAAGAGCATTCACTTTTTCCAGCTCTTCTGATTTCTCCAAGAGTTCCTGCTGTTCTGCTTCAAATTCCTGTCTGAAATCGGTTCCAAAAGGCTGGATTCGGTACAGTCAAAATCAGATCAAATTATGTCCGACATACCGATAAAATGATCGCAGCTCTTCTTGCTTGCCGCTGAGTTTTGCCCACTCTTGGTTTAAAATCTCAACATCGGATGCGAACTTTCTAAAAAAAGTACTACATACAAGCAAACAAGGTACAAGGTACAGAGTGACTTACACCTGGAATTCGGCCTTAGCTCGATCTAGATGCTCCTTGTTCATGGCCAGCTCAGCGAGACGAGTTTCAAGAGATTTCCTCGTGATCTCGAGGGCGCTTTCTTTTTCCTTGAAAAGAGCAAAGGTAATTTAGAACGTGCTAGACTATCGGACTTCCATACCAACAACTGCAGCTCGATCTTATGGCGGAGAACTCGATCCTTTTCTGCAAACTGTTCTTCCAATTGCATTCTTTGCCGCTCCAACTGAAATACACTCCGATAACCACTTAACAGACCAAAAGGCTACCTCCATAGTTCGAACCCGAGCGATTCAGTCGTGTGCATCCCAAATCGCGCGAATTGCAACCCACGCGTTCGCGAGAACTCTATTCGGGAACTGATTGAACTATCAATCCATCCCACGATCAGCGATGGAGCTAGGTCGGCCACAGTCGCGCAAGTGATCGCTCGAGCCGCGAAATAAGAATGCGGCCTAATTAAAAAAATCATGCGCATTCTATGAAAATCTGCTGCAAAAATGCTCAAGTAAAGTAAATAATAGGAGTGAGAAGCATACTTCTCGACGTCTCATATCCATCTGTTCAGAATATTCGGCACGAATATCTGCCAACTTGCGATCAGTATCCATTCGATCTTTCTCTCTTTGCTGTAAGAGACGTTTTTCATAGCGACGCTCCACACGAGTGCAAAGCCTTTCAGCTATTAAACGCAACTGCAGTTGGGCATCAGTTGTTACTCGACTCTGAAGAGAAAAATCATTATCTGGCGGGCTAGAGGACGCAAAATGGAGTTTCTGAAAGGGTTCCGCAATTAAAATCATTATTCCGTATCAGTTCAGGTTCAATCAGGTGAAATTTTACTGCATAGCGCAGAAGGGAGATCTCAGGGTTTTCACGTTTCAAAACCTTTTAGAAATATCAAATCCGTATAGATCGTGAGACTCTCACGACTTTTCTCGAGTATAACTGAAGGAAATTCCCAGACATCGTGCGGTCCTGTATTCCGTCTTGTAACCCCTTCGCCTGGCTTGGAATCTTTGATAACAACGTCACGACACACCAGTCTTGTTCGCTGCGGGTGAGAGGGCGGCTCGAGACGGGACATGGCGCGGCCAGTTTTTAAAGCGAGTAAGACCGCTGTTAAAGCAAGCAAGACGCCTGACTCGTCCCTTCAACCGCAGCAAACAAGACTGTACCCTAACGTTAAGAAGGTTCTGATATGAAGCGACTGCGGTGCTGACCAGAGCGGATATACGAGTACACGCATGCAACAATACCTACCGCTGCCATGACACCAGCGGGAAACTCGTCCGATAATGTTTTCTGAGTCAAGTAGAATAAAGGCTTTTTTTACAGATTTTTGACTGTTGCACTTCGCTTTTTCGCCATTTTACCCACTATATAGCCACCCAGCTACTATGGCAGTTGGTTCAAATTATTGTGCTTATGCATTCAACTGCTGCTGAACTAGCCTAGCCTCTCAAATCCACCTAAGCTCCGTGTATAACACATCGGGTACATCGAGCTTTTGGATGCGTGATGCGTTACGTGCGCGAGTTTGATCTGATTCATTGAATATGCCGTAGTGTGCCGAGACAGCTAGCAAGGAAATATAGCGTAGTTCGCTGCGGACGGTTGGGCGTGTCAGTGCGGCTGCGTTTGGCGCGGTGCCAAACCCGTTCTCCACCAGTTGTTGAAGCGAGCAAGCGATATGACTGTATCATATCGTTCGTATTACTCGTTTTCTACCACTTTTTGTCGCATGCGCGTTTCAACAAGAAGGCAGAGAACGGCTTGACGCTGTGCACACTCATACTGGCTGACACGCCCAACCGTCCAAGTAGAGTGTACTTGTCAGTTTTCACGAATTGCAGAAACGTGGATAACCGCGCACACGCGACTTATTGATAATTATTAGTTGTAGGGCGTCGCATTCTTCGCGCTAGTATTCATTTCAAGGGTTAGCGCTCTTATACCTCAAGCTTCCATTACCACCAAGTTAGTTAAAAGTTTTCAAACCAGAATAACACATAAATTAAACTTTTCATGAGCAAATTAAGAAAAAAAATGAAGTTGCTGAGTTGCAAATACACGACACACCTTGTCGATGCTTTCAGGAAATTTTGTAAATTCAACATTGACCAACTGATTGCCGTTACTGAGTGCACGATAGACAGCTCTAGTGAGAATGCTCTCGATATCCCACGTAGGGATCTGCTGAAATATAGAAAGTCATCGAACAAGAAAGATTCTGAAGTACGAGGAATCGCTTCTACCGTGTTCCCGCGCTAGGTTCCCTCATCCCTCAAACCCTTTCTGGTGCGTCTGAGATCTCTCTTCAGAAAACCTTGGCACTCTGGTAAATTCTACTGTTTCCCGCTTCACTGTTCCGAATGAGTTCTTGGGTGGAACTTTTTATTGATTTTGGCTTTTGGCCTTTTTTTGGCCTGACATTTCTATTAGATCGACTTACTCAGAGGCCAGTCCGCCACCGCACGAGAGGAACAACTTCACTCATGTTAGTAGAACTTAGAAAGTCAAGGCTAGTAGTGAAATGACCTTCATGGACGGCCATGTAACCCGAAGGTAATTTCAGAAGCAGAGAGTTCCACCTGAAAACCTCTTTGGCACAGTGAAACGGAAAATCTTTCAATGGGAATGTTACACCGCCTTGTCACTGCCTGCGTGACGCACGATTCACCACACTGATTGACGGGTGTTGTGGTGTACGGCACAATTCGCACGTGCGGCCACAGTTCGGCTTGGTTGGAGGCACCGAACGGTACTTAGCTAAGCTTGCACAGGCGAAAGCCTTGAGAATAACTGTAAATTCCTGTGACCAAAGCTGTTCACTCGTACCAATTGAGCAGCTTCATAGAAGTATTTACAGGCATTCAC